CATTCCGTGGCAGTATACTCATACGATATTCCTGAACAGATGGTTTTATCAGCTAACGTTCTGCGCTGCCTCCTTATCATGACATGCAAGAGTCACTAGAAAATAAGGCCATGTTGACCCTGTAAAAGGAGACGCCAGGCGCCGGTTCTCATGGCAGCAGCCTGAATGGTTTCCCATGACAGCCTGAGTCATGGCCAGTGCCTGGGCTGCCAACTCCCTCTCCACAGCCCCGCCCAATGGGTCATGAAGCGACATCTCGGCCTCCGAAGCCACACGTGCAGGTGGGATATCTTGTGAAGCTGAGGTGGATCGAGTTCCCACGACGCTGCGTTTGGGCGTCCGCAAAGAAGCACACGCCCACGCCCTCGCCTTCTTCTCCGAATTCATGCGCTGGTCAGGTTGCCAGGCATTCCTCTCGAACTTTTTTTTATCTAGTGGGTATTCGGCCTCTCGAACCGGTGTCGGTTCAGAAAGTCTGAGGAGAGCTTCACATATATATACATATATTTATACATATAGATAGATATGTATACATACAGATAATTTTATATATATATACATATATATATATATAGATAGATAGATAGATAGGTATGTGTACTTACACACACACACACACACACACACACACACACACACACACACACACACACACATATATATATATATATATATATATATATATATATATGTATGTATGTATGTATGTGTGTGTGTGTGCATACACACACATAAACACACACACACACACACACACACACACACACACACATGTATATATATATATATATATATATATATATATATATATATATATATATATATATATATATATATATATATATATATCGGGATTCGAACCCTCGCCGCCGTTGCACGCAGGTAACTGCAAGACGGACACTGTGACTGCTACACGACCCAGTAAAAATATGGGGCAAGTAGGAGCTACCTTGCTTCCATAGACATTACCTATTACTCACACTTGAGTAAGGATAGCGAGGTGTTACACACGCTCCCCGTGGGTACTCGGTAGATATATCTGCCGAGTACTAAGCTAATCATTATTTTAATCATTAAAATAAATATCGCAATAATAGCAGTAATATTATAATGCAATAAAACAGATGGCAATGATAACAGTAATCAAAACATTCTAATTAAGATAACAATGCATGATGATATGACATTAGTGATAACAGCAACAGCAACAACAACAATAAGAACAGTAACAAGAACATCATAATAATTGTTATGATAACACAACTGCTATTACTGCTACCACCATCACCAATGTTGTTGCTACTAATGATAATGATAATAACAGTAATAATATTGATGGTGATAGTGTTAACAATAGTAATCACATTGGTAAAAAGATCAGTGCATTATCCATGTCTTACCCTTAGGAACTAGCAACGTAAATGCATATATCTGTGGTTTATTAAGTACTTAGACAATTCTTGATAGATCTAGTCGATTCCAATGTATTTTTTAGTGTTGTATATTACTGCTACCAGTGTATTGCTTCCACAGTTGTAAAATATCAACAATCGTTATTTATACACAGCACACACACACACACTAAAGAACAAACAAAGATAATGGTTTTAAAGTCTATCCTGATTCTGAGAAGTTTGACCTGATGAGTAAAAAAAAAAAGTATATCACTTTATCGATTTGTAAGCCCGCACAAGGACTTATTAAATATACCTCATCCTTTTTCAGATGTAATTTTTCTTTAGTCTCAATAAACGTGCCAAAGTAAAAAAAAAAAAAAAAAAAAAAAGTTTCCCAGCCCATACCGCCACCTTTTGAGATGTAATTTTTCTTTAATCTCAATAAACGTGTCAAAAAAAAAAAGTTTCCCAGCCCATACCGCCACCTTTTGAGATGTAATTTTTCTTTAGTCTCAATAAACGTGCCAAAGTAAAAAAAAAAAAAAAAAAAAAAAAAAAAAAAAAAAAAAAAAAAAAAAAGTTTCCCAGCCCATACCGCCACCTTTTGAGACGTAATTTTTCTTTAGTCTCAATAAACGTGTCAAAGTGAAAAAAAAAAAAGTTTCCCAGCCCATACAGCCACCTTTTGAGATGTAATTTTTCCTTAGTCTCAATAAACGTGCCAAAGTAAAAAAAAAAAAAAAAAAAAAAAAAAAAAAAAAAAAAAAGTCCCAGCCCATACCGCCACCTTTTGAGATGTAATTTTTCTTTAGTCTCATAAACGTCAAAGTAAAAGTAAAAAGTAAAAAAAAAAAAAAAAAAAAAAAAAAAAAAAAAAAAAAAAAAAAAAAAAAAAAAAAAAAAGTTTCCCAGCCCATACCGCCACCCGGTCATTCGCCAAAACAGTCGTCCCTCACGTCGTGCGCGGGACGTGATGCTCGACGAGGCAGCGGCCCATCCCCCTTGGCAGCGGTCACAGGCTTTTATAAGCACGTTTTCGTCACGCGGTGAGAGAGAGCGCCAGTGTTTACAATTAGAATATTTGGATAACCTCGTGGATTTTT